TGAGTTTGAGGCCAGCCTGGTCTACATAGTGAGTTCCAGGATAGCTCGGGCTACAGGGAGACCCTGTCTCAAAAAGATCGAAAAAAAAAAAAAATTATTCTGTAATTATAAAGCTAACATAAAAGGCCAGGCCTTGTGCCAAGCACTTTGTACACATTGTCTCATTTGACATTCACAATCCTCTTAGGAGGGAGACACCATCATGGCTGCCCCATCATGGCTGCCACTTATAGTCTAGAAAACAGGAATGAGAATACTTGCTGAAAATCACCTAACTCGTACAAATTAATAGGTTTCAAATTAAGACTGTCAAGCTCTATAGGCCAGGCTCCTGATGCTCCTGCTCTCCTGCCCCTCAGCAAGCCACACCTCTTTAACCCCTACTACTTTTCACTCCACACCATGTTTAACTATCCTTGATATCGGTGGCCCTAGTATGTTTGATTAACCAGCTCCAACACCTGCCAAAAGCCTACCTGGTCTTATGGACATTCATAGTGACAATTAATACTAAGTTCCTATCCACAGGGAAAGTAAATGCACAAAGGTACCCTCAGTATGACAGAGACAGCTAGTGGGTCAGGAGGTCACAGGTTTCCTGACCTAGTAGTTGAGACCTGCTTGTTACACTTTCTCTGTACTATCAGAAGGTTAGAATGAGACAGAAGAGGGAAGGGGAACAACAAGTAGGAAAAAGCAGAAGAGGAGGGGGAAGAGCCCACTAGGAAGAAAACTAAAACAAAAAGGAGGAGTCATCGGAAAATGGGAGAAAGCACACACTGGTACCAGCCAGAGCTTCTTGGATCTGTTCCCAGTCTGGCTGCCAGAGTGCTCTGGAATATATTTGTTAGAGCTGGAGTCCTGTACAGCCTATTGCAGACTTTTTTGACTACACTCTGACAGAGAGACCCACACTTCAGTTCCAATCCCTGCTTCCCACACAGAAAATAAGTTACTCCTTGGGGGATTCCAATGAAAACTCACCACTGGCCTCTTATAGGATATGCATCTACTCTGTGAGCTCAGAAAGAAAGCTCAGGATGCGCCCCTCTCTACACTAAAATTTCACCCCAACTTCTCAAGACCCTCCTCTAAAAACAACAGGCTTCTTGCTTCTTACCAAAACAACTGCTGCGATGAGGAACAAAGGTTTTACAGGCAGTGGCTATAGCAAGTTCAGCAGAGATGACTGTCTTAATGATCAGATCTTCCACATGGGCCATCAGTGCTGCAAAAACAATTATTTTAATGAAACGCATGCATTAGTAGGAGCAGATTCTAGGTCATAATGTAATTTAAAAAGCATCTGGGCTCATTCAAAAGCATCTAAACAGCAGTCTTCAGAATGGATGCTGTAGGGCAGGCATGTTCAGGAGCAGGTTGGCACAGAATGCTGTTGGCCTCCTATGACAGAAGGCAGGCTCAGAACCTTCCTTCCCTTCTCGTTCTATTACCCTTTCCCCTGTGGGCTGAGAAAGTGTCTTTTGCACATTGCGTCCCACTCTGCTTAAGGCTTAGCAACAGTGTCCACTTTTACTCCAAGCCCCTACTCAAATCCTATTCTGTCCACTCTGACCGAACACAAGAGTTCAGTTGAGAAAAATTTGAACTCAGGGCCAACACAGAGATATAAGCAATTATATAAATACTGACAGCATTTTAGTGGGCAGTTCAGCATTTAAGAAAGGTAAATTGAGGACTAAAACAAAAAGTTGTGCCTTCCAAACTAGAAACTAGAAAAGAGATGTGGGCAGTCATAGGAAGTTTGTTCTCCATCTTCTAAACTACAGAAAAAAGTAATGAGAACAGTCATCCCACTGGGCATCACAGTAACACTATCAGAAGGATTCCTGGTAGGACAAAAGTACAGCTGTACAAAGAAGTGAAGTCACGTGGCTAGAGAGATGGCTCAGCAGTTAAGAGCAATTGCTGCTCTTTCAGAACTGGGATGGGTTAGTGAGCTAATGTACTACAACATTACATTATATTACATTCAGTTCCCAGCAGCCAGTATGGCAGCTTATAACCATCTGTAACTCCAGCTCCAGGGGATTCAATGCCCTTTTCTGACCTCTCCAGGCATCCGCACATATGTACACACACACACACACACGCACACACACACACACACACACACAGACACAAAGGAAAAGGCCTGGTGCTTACCAGCTGTGTCCTTGCCTTCTTGTTTCAGGTACCTAAGCATGGCACTCATGCTCCATTTGTTCCCATAATCCTCCACTTCTGGATCATCACAACTACGACAAAGGAAGGAATTGAGGTCACGTATGTCACTAGGCCTATCCTTCTCTGTCTTTTTAGTATTTTAGAAAAATATTCACTTTGCTGGGTTCCATCCAATTTTTCTTGGTCCCTTCTGTCCTGAATCCTTGTGTACCAATTTCATAAAGGGAAATTAAAAGGCAAATAATTTGCTCTTTTGAAGAGGGTAGAGAAGAAGCAGTTAATTCTTCTATAATCAAACAATCATGCATCATGAAAGAGTGAGAGAAAGATATAAAAGAATGTAAACAAGTTTAAGAATGGTTACAATAAAGTGCCAACAATGGGGCATAACTTAGTCTTTGAGGTAAATGTCACTTGAGTCTAGAAAACAGCCTCAGATGCCACTTTCAGACCAGAACTGAATTGGGATGGGTTAGTGATCTAATGTACTAGAGCATTTTAAAGAGCTAACTGTGCACAGAATTGCTTTGACATATGAAGCAAGCTACCTGCCGTCTGGTGGTACCCAGTGGTTCCACATCCTCTGAGGTATCACAGTGAGAGAATGCACTGGAGTAACAGTAAGAGCAGTAGGCCTCCCACTGCCACGGCAGTATGGTGGAAAATGGGATAGGATCCCACGGGTGGTACAGGCCTGCAACATGGCACTACGTTTTGCTGCTGCCCTCTCAACCCTTACCACCATCTTACCCTCTCCATCAATTACACCCCTACTCATTTCAAAGTGAGGGATATGGCAGCTTAACATAAAGTGAATGCTGGTCACAGGACACTCAATGAAACCTCTTTCACTTCAGCAACTGGCCCATCACTTCCAGATTCTGTCTTTCCTTCCTTGGACCTGGTAGGAACCTATTTTTAGTTTGAGTAGAAACTGACTGGTCTCTCTCCTATTTTAAAATAGGAGAGAGACCTATTTTTCCACTTTCTGGCAAAATTGTCAGTATGAAAGAAAACAGAGCAAGAAGACTATTTCCACACAGCTGGTTGGTACTCCCTTCCACCTAAGGGCTTTTCTGAGAAGGCCTCATTTCTTTCTTTCTTAAAACTTTTTCCTCACATTTTCTTCCTGATCATACAAGTATGTTTTAGACAATTTCAGAAGATAGATAAAAGCACACAGAAGATCCTAAAAACCATCTACTCACAAACTTATACCTTGTAGTTAAGGACAGCTAACATTTCAAGATATATCCTTCTTTTACTCCCTTCTTAGCAAAAATAAATAGCATTAGATATTTGATAGTCAAGCAAGACTTTCAGCTCATGTGCTTTTTCCATCTAACAATATAGAGCACAAAGCACTCTTATCTCTGATTTTGTACATACATCCCTTATTCCTTGGGCGAAGTACCTAGAAATGGAACTGCTGCATCAAAGGATACAAATAACTTAAGCTTTGATATGCTTTCCAAGTGCTGGCAAAGGCTTGTTTTGGTAATGGTGGCCCTATAACTAGGTAAATCATGGAGAAACAGCAGCAGCAATGCCTCAAAACTGTACATGCCCCTGCCAGTGTCCCCTAAGTGTCCCAGGGGCAAAAACCTGACTTTATGTTCCAGGGCAGCATGTTAACCTTTCCACATTTGAATACCCACACTTGAGTCAGACTTCCAGCCCAGACCCAGCCAGTACCTCACATAGTCTCCACTCTTCTTGTTCACGCTGTAATTTGTTAGGTGCATGAACTGATTCCGAATGTTCTTAGATCCTTGATCATACCGCACGGTTGCAAACCTGAAAGCCAAGAACACAGGTTAAATGCCAGAAACTGCTGCAATGGAACTGAAGGTCAGGAAGATAAGAATATTGGGGGGGGGGGGGGATCATCATCATCATCTAACACGGAGGGTGATATCATCTAACAAATACTCATCCTTGCTAAGTGTCAACTTCCATGTGTTTATATATATATATAATCACATATTAATTCAATGCTAAAAGCAGCTCTATTAAGTAGATCATGCTAGATCTAATTTTTGGATAGATATAAAACTAAGTATTACCTAGAATGACTGAATAAATTGTCAAAGATCACAGACTTAAGATCCATGGGCTTAGCCACTATTAAATGCTATTTCTCCTATAACTTTTATCAGTAAGAATGAAAATTCAGTAATTATAACCTGGGAAACTGTACGTAGGCTACTACACATAATGAAGTTGTGAGGACCCCTACTCTGTCCACCCAGTGACTGGGGAACAACATTCCACAGGAGAAAATTACAAAGAAAAAAAGTCCAGTATAGCAATGTCAATTCTTAAAGAGATCCACAGAAGGCAGAGAACTGATCCACAATTTCAAAAGAATAACAACAGCACTAACAAGAGATAAAACCTAACAGCCTAAGTGTGGGCATAATGCAAGAGAAGGACTTCTGAATTTGGAATGAAAGCAAAACACAGAAAGATTTCACACGGAACCCAGTGACAGCAGGGCAGCAATTTGATCCTCTGGACTACGGTCAACAGAAGACCAAAGCGCAAAATGCATGTGCCTCTGAAGGAAACAAACAGGGAAAGAGAAAACTTTCCAGTGATGTTCAATGTCAATAAAAAGGCCACTTAAGGCCAATGGCTATGGTAAATATCAGGCCCTGTTTACATACCGCTATAACCATATCACCCTTTCCTAAAGTGGTTTTCCCAAGAGGCAAAGTCAAGTGTGTGAAAGAAACCTGGACAACCACAAGTTTATTTTCGTATGATTTACAAATTATTTACATATGCTTACTCAGACTATGAAGTCAATATGAATTTTTACCACATTAAAGGTCAGCATTTAAAAATTTTCCTCTTCTCTATTTCTTCTCACATACCCACTATCTCATCTCCCTAATTCCCTGTACCAGAAATACATGGTTCAAAGAAAGAAAAGTGAAAAAAAAATAGAAAGGCTTAAACCCAAGAAACTAAAACAAACATGAAGCCAGGAAAAAGGATGTGGACAAAGAAAATTTTGACCATGCATATATGGCTAAAGGATGTGAGTTTAACAAGCATTATGTCTACGTTTGAGAAAGAACTCAAAGTTCCAGAAACTTCTAGAAGCTACCATTCAACTTCGTCATCACTTGATGGTAAATGAACTTTACATTTACATCCCAATCATCTTCATACAGTGATTCTCCAGGAGGTGAAAGAGTGACTCTGAATTCTTATGAAATGCAATGGTGAACAAGAGGGCCCCAGAGTCTGCCTACCTTAAGTAGACATTAACTCACAGTGACATATACTGAGCTGTCTTCTCCCTCAACAAATAAGTTGGGGGGGAGTTCTGGTTTGAGGAAAGAGGTGTTTCCTATCAGCAAAGTCTGAGGACCTGATTCACCTTGGTCAGTAAAAGAAGCCTGGCAGAAGTCCAGAGCAAGTCGGATCTGGTGTTTTTCACCTTTGTACGCCTACAGACTTTCCAAGGGGCCATACTTCTACCAAAATCATTTTTCTTCTTCCTCATCTTCCTTTCACTGGGGCATTTTATTCTGAACTCCCACATGGACAAAATTACTAATGCCACAGAGTAGACATCTACAGGGTTTAAGAAATAGTAAGATAGGGGCTGGAGAGATGGCTCAGTGGTTAAGAACACTGGGTGTTCTTGTAGAAGACCCGGGTTTGAATCCCAGCACCCACATGGTAGCTAACAACTGTCCGTAACTCCAGTCCCAGGGGATCCAACAGCCTCTTCTAACCTCTGCGGGCATTGCATGA